CTTACTTTTCAAAGGCGGAAGAGCCACAGGGAGCCAGCAGAGGACTCAAGCAGTCCTCTGCTGGTCTGGTGCTCCCTGCTTTTGAAATGTACAAGAGCCCTGGAAGGTTCTTGAGTCCTCCACTCACCTCCTGCTCCCCACTCTCACTTTGCTTTTGAAATGTACGAGAGTCCCCTACAGGACTCTTGTACGTTTCAAAAGCAGGGAGCACGGGCCCGTGGGGGACTGCTTGATTCCCCCGCTTGCCCCCTGGTCCCGCGGCACTTCTGCATTCCGCGAGGAGTAATAGCTAATTTGAGTTAGGGGTTTACTTCGAACTCCCATTTCACTGCCGTGTGTAGACACGGGCAGTTATTCCGGGCTAGTCAGTTTCCAAAATGGCGACCGCCTGGGAACATGCTAATGAAGTGCGGGATATTTAAATTCCGTGCTCTGTTTGCAATTTCGATTGCTCTCATTAGCCTCTCTAGTTCAAACTAGAGGGCTAGTGTAGACATACTCTTACATCCCTAGTTGAGACCATCATTTTGAGGGAAACTGCTTCTTCTTAATTGTGAAGGAACAAAATAAAAGTTTTTTCCAATATACAAATTTTATATCTGTTAAACTTGATAGGCTACGTCTAGACTGGCATGATTTTCCGCAAATGCTTTTAATGGAAAAGTTTTTCCGTTAAAAGCATTTGCGGAAAAGAGCGTCTAGATTGGCACGGATGCTTTTCTGAAAAATCTAGACTCGGTTTTGCGCAAGAAAGCCCCGATCGCCATTTTCGCCAGCGGGGCTTTTTTGCCCCAAACAGTTTTTAGCTGTCTACACTGACCCTCTTGTGCAAAAACATTTCTGGAAAAGGGCTTTTGCCTGAACGGGAACATCAAAGCATTTGCGCAAGAAGTACTGATTTCGGACAGTAGAACGTCAGTGCTTTTGTGCAAAATCTAGCAGCCAGTGTAGACAGCTGGCAAGTTTTTGCGCAAAAGCACTTGCTTTTGCGGAAAAACGTGCCAGTCTAGACGCAGCGGATAGTGTTTCCTTAAAATTCTAGTCATGCTGATGTGTTTTCCTTATTCTGGGGTTGTAAAATAATCCCTTTTGTGTGTGTGTGTGTGTGTGTGTGTGTGTGTGTGTGTGTGTGTGTGTGTGTGTGTGTGTGTGTGTGTGTGTCTCTCTCTCTCTCTCTCTCTCTCTCTCTCTCACACACACACACGTAAAATTATAACAATTTGCAAAATGTGATCTATTCAACATCCTGAATGTTCTCTAACGAGAAAATACTGACTGCAGGGTTAGGTATACATTATTCATATCAGACCTATGCCACAAGATTAAATATACTGAAGATTATTTTGCGTAAATAGTCGTTGCGCTTAGGTTGATTGCACAAAAATATTTAACTGGATTTATTACCACAATCAGCAGAAAACATTCTAGAGTCAGAAAGATTCAAATAAGATATGTTAGAGCGCATATATTTTCATTCAGTGGCATATGTCATATAATAATATTAGGCTATTTTATTAAAATTGAACAAGTAGTGATTAGCTGACTTTCCCCTCTTCCTTCAGGTATATCTCTTAGAATTACGTGATGTGTGATGAATTGGAGATTCTGAACAGGGAGATTGAGCGATTATTACGGAGCAACATCGTGGAAGAAAGCACTTTAATTTCAGACTGTCTTCCGCCATCTACCATTGACTCCTTGGATATAGCCACTGATTCAGACAATGAAGCAAAATACAAATTAGTTCAGGTATCGAATGCTTTTATAAACAGTAATAAGGTTCTCAAAACTAGGTTAGAACACTTTGGGGGTTTATTTTTGTTGTTTTTGGAAGACATGACAATGTACATTGAAAGAATTCAGAAAGATGGGAGTAATCTGAATTTACCCATTTGCAGCATTAATTTATTTGTTGCTGTCAGAGATAGAAAAAATGTTTGGGTTGCTGTACTATTTCATGTACCAGCTGAAAAGAATGGCAAATTTCTCTTCATTTGGAGAATGTAATGGCACTAGGGAGATGATCATTTCCCAAGTTGTAACAAGTGGTTAAAAATAACAAATATGCTTTAAGACTCCAGGGTTTATGAACTTGGACAGTTTGAGTTGAACAAATACATTATAGGGAGGGTGTGTTGTAACATAGGATTGTGTAGTTTAATTTGTCCTTACATATGTCTGTTTCCACCTCTGGTACATTACAGAATTCATCCTTATCCTGGTAAAATCCTTGTTCAGGTTTTAATAACATTTTACCTTTACTGTTGCAATTCTTCTTGCAGTTGCTCCTAAATCATTGCTTGTTCCAAAAAATGGAATCATATTGCCTTTGACCTCTCTCATTGGCTTATCTTCAAGTTCAGTTTTATCAATCCTGTTCCACTTCCTGTTCTCCAGTTCCAAAGCCTGCTTCATGTACTACAGTTGGGATAGATTTTTCTGTGTTTTCCTCTGGACAGTGGTTAACTTTGACCATTTGGTAAAGTAAGTTCCTGATTCTGGAACACTCTTGAGAGAGAGATTTTCTCAGAAGTGTTGGCTGCTATGGTGAGGCAGATATCTTAACAAATGGTTGTGGCATCTTCTTTGGATTAGTCAAGTCTTCATGAAGTATTTTTAAAAAGCTTTGTCCCTTTCATGCAGGCTGCACCTGTCAGGAAAATTATATTTCTTGAAAAATATTCAAGAATAGATTTGAAAACTTGGTTGAGTCTTTGAGAAGTGTACATGGGCATAGGGACAATTTCTCATTTATGGAGTTTCTTCTAGATCTTTCTTCCCTACTTTTCTGGATTTTAAATCTGTTGAAACGATGGTCTTGTCTGTACTTTTGCCACTCTAACTGTGATAGTATAAACTACATGGCAAAGTAGTTTGGCAAAGTAAAATAAACTGTACTGGTAAAAAGTGCCCTTATTAGAATAATTGAATATAAACTAAGCTTTATACATGCATAAGCATGATAATGAAAAAAAACCACACACTTTGCCCATATTGGTAAAGTTTTTTAAGTTAGTCTTTTGCTGTAAAATTGCATTTGGCTTGCTTAAAAAACACTTTACAGTGTAGAAATGGTTGATATAATGGATGACATAAAAATACAGTGTATTGCAGCAGTTAGGGTATATTGGCATGTCTGAGTCCCTTTACACTTTTTTTTTTGAAAACATGGTACAAGACCAGGAGAAAGTGAAAGAATAGAGAATTCATCCTTCTCCTAACTGGTAACTTAGAACT